GAGCCTTTTTCATGAATGGATGTGGCAGGAGCTGTCTGTCCTGCTCAGTGACCCCGCCACAACCGCCGAACCCACTAACAAAGTTTCCAGGGGGCCTTTCTAATTAAACCATTTGTCAGTGTCAGATACCGATGGCTGAGCTCTGGTTTAATATTGCCTGGAAAGGAGGTAGATCGGTGGGGTTTTTGCTTCTCTGTCTTCCTTCACAAGCTGGTTAGCGGAGAAGGCGGAGAAAAGGACTTGGGAGCAGACATGAAGGGTCCCATCCGTCCTCAAGCCTGCAGCTGTCTGGGTGAAGAACAAACCTGTGACACTGCTCTGTTGCAAAACGTGTTTGTAGTGATAAAATAGGCGTGTTTTAGTGCCTGGGCTGGGTATGTGGTGGTTGTTCTTGCTTTAGCTTTTCAGATGCAGTGCTATTCTGTCTAGGTGGCATAATAGCTCTTGCCTAAACTGCCCCAGACGTGTATTTCTGAGAAACTAAACAAGGCAAGATTGTCTCTTGCCATTGATTTTATTTTTGGATGTTTGTTTCTTTTGCAATTGAGGTTTCCCCCCTATTAATCACAAGCAATGTTGAACTTTGTAAGAAACGCTCTTTGGTTTCCTGGGATCTGTTTGTGTCGTAGCAGTCTGCTCAGGGAAGATGAGGGAGCAGGGAGATGCCTTTCTTGGTGTGAAGTTGAAGGTATACCAACTTTTTGCTGGCAAATACTTGCTAAGTAATGTGGACGTGTGTCCAGATAGAAGGATTTCCCATTCTGAAGAATAAAATATGTTTTTGTCTTCTGTATCTCCCCTTCCCTCTCTCCTTTCCCCCTTCTCAGGTGGGTTTAACAAGTTTCAGACCGAATATTCAGAGCACTGCGAGACGAACCTTGACAGCTCCTCACCCAGCAACTCTCCGCCGGCATCAGTCCTTGGCCTGGGAGGGCTGCGGATAAGCTCTGACTGCTCGGATGGCGAATCCGACAGGGAACCCAGCAGTGCCACGGAGTCTGACGGGAGCCCCATCCCTAACAATCAGCCTGCCTTTCCGGTCCAGATCCTACCTTACCTGTACCTGGGCTGTGCCAAAGATTCGACCAACTTGGACGTCCTGGGCAAATATGGCATTAAATACATCCTGAATGTGACTCCCAACCTGCCAAACATGTTTGAGCATGATGGAGAGTTCAAGTACAAGCAGATCCCCATCTCGGATCACTGGAGCCAGAACCTCTCGCAGTTCTTTCCCGAGGCCATTGCTTTCATTGGTAGGTAGTTGGCAGAACATCTCTTTTCATACTCACTGCTTGGGAATGTGGCAAGCAGCTTCCCAGGGCTGTTGCTCTTCTCTGGCCTCACCTCTCTGGGGCACAGCGTCGGCCTTAGCTTAGCAGCTGAGCATCATGCTGCTGAGGTGATGCTTCTGGTGCCTGTCACCCTGGCTGGCTTCAGGAAGGCCTTTCCCTTCCAAAATTCAGCCCTCTTACAGCACCTCAGCTGGGTTACTTGCAAGTGGTAGGACCTGGCCCTGCTGTCTCTTGCCCTTGTCTGGGGATTTGTGCTTGTGTGAAATGGCTGAACCAGGGTGGTGAGGAGCTCCTTTGCCTGCTTCGCTCTGAGGAGTGAGTGTTGATGGGAGTTGCATTAATGTGACTGGTGCCAACAATTCCTTAGCCCCTAGTGTGGTTAAAATCTAGGGGGGGATGTTTTCTTTCCCTGAGGGGATTTGCTAGTCTAGTTGTGATTCTGCTGTAAGTTGCCCTAGCGTAGCTCCTTGTATGGATACTTCTGCTAAGGTAAGTGTCAACACAATGAGTGAATGATTATACTTAGACTGCAGAGCTCAGCTGGAAAAACTGCTGTGCAGACAGCCCCTGAGACACAACCAGCTTTGGCTGGTTGTGGGGAGGGCGGCAGATCTCTTCTCCCAGGCTAGTGTTGACTTTGAAAATGGCTTCTTATTCTGAGAAGTGTCTGTTGGACTGAATAGGGATGTACACTTCCAGCATGACTTGTGCTGTCTGCTGGTGACGGTTGTTAGCCTAATGAGTTCTGATTTATGGGGGGTGAATGGCACAAGTAGTCATTAGCACCACTAACTATTAGAAGATCTATGGTCTCATACCTGGTATAGGTAAAGGTGAGGGGGACCTCTACCTTCAGACTGAAATCTGTGCAGCCTGTTTCAATGCTGCTTTGTTACCCCCATGTTTTGGACCCCACTGCATGCGCTTGCTTGCCGTGCTGTAAGGGCTGATACAGGGCAGGGCGGTGGTAGGTCCTTGGCTGCTTTTCAGCTGTTGGAAACCCTGGTTTCCACACGCTCTCCTTTGCCTGCAGCTTCTGTCCTCTAGTAACATTATTGTGGTCAGAAGCAGGTGCTTCAGTGTGGCAGCAGGGACCTGTCTGATGTCCCATCTGCACTTCCTGCATGGAGCGTGGTATTAAATGTCAGGGGTGAGGTGCGGGGTCCCTGCTGTCGTGTGGCATTTGAGATCTGTCTGCTCCAGTCAGACGATGTCTCTGTGAACATAGCACTTGTGCTTTCCCGTTAATGACAGGAAACAGAGGATTACCTCCTCTAAAACCAAACACCAGGAAATGCGATGCAGGTCAGATAAAAGGTAAAAATGTCTCTGAACAACGTTGAACAGGGAGAGACTGGGAGGAAGGCTGGCTATGCTGGGGTATGATTCCCCACTGTACTGGAAATTCTTGCCTGTTTTGGAGGCTGGGGCAGAAAACCTGTTGTGGCTTAGGTCTGGATTTTGTTTTGCCTTTCCCTGTGCTCTTGCTGCCGGAGGAGTCTCTTACATCCAGCTTTGCCCAAGGATCCTCTTTCTCCTGCCACCTTCTCCCTCCCTCCCAAGCTCTGTCAAATGACTGACTTCAAATAGGGCTGCCCAGAAGTAAGCAGTGCTGGGCACTTGTGTGCATTCAGCGCTCTCAGCGGCATGTCCCTCTTTCAGCACTAAGATGTCAATTCATAAAGGGATCACGCTGTTCTGGCTGTGTGAGAGACAATGAGTGTATGTGTGCTTTTCAGTCAGTGGCAAGGGAGGGGAAATTTTGTCGCTGTTCTCTCGCCATTTTTTGGTCCAGCCTGCATTCCTGTTCCCTGCTACCATTCATCCTGAGAGTCTCTTCCAACACAAGCGTTTGTTTGTAGTGAAGTACGTTTCTGTCGATCCTAAAGAACAATTTCACAATAAGGGAGGTTCCTGCACTTCAGACTGCTTAAATTGGCTTTGACTACATTCACGTAACTTTCTAGTGGAAGGAAGACAAAAACAGCAGAAGAGAATAGCTTGCGTGGTGCTAGGCTACAGCCTCGCCTTGAGTGTGCAGCTTTCCCTGGTTAGTTGACGTTGCGGTGGGTGTGCTATGCCAGACCACCAGCATCTCCCTGGAGCTGTAGTCTCCAACCCCACCTGCCTTCTGTGGGTTACACCATTTCTCTGTTCAAATAGAGGGTACTGGTGCTCCCTAGGCAAGGGTTATGTTGCCAGGCTTGATTAATACTTCTCAAGCATGTGAGATGCTTGGCCTTGCTGTGCGGAACAGGGATGTGCAGCTTTGCTGTGCACTGGGAATATCTCAGGAGCCCTTTGGGGAGAGATGTGGATGTCAAAGGGACACAAGATGGTGCCACTAGGAGCAGGGGATCCAGTTCTGGCAGTCGTCCTGGTTCTGGGAGCTTGCAGCTGCCACCTGGCCCTGCTCCAAAGCCATGCGTTTTTGGTGCAGAATAATAGACTCCCCCTTCCCCTTGTCTTGTTTCAGATGAGGCCCGTTCCAAGAAGTGTGGGATCCTTGTTCACTGCCTTGCTGGCATCAGCCGGTCCGTAACAGTCACTGTCGCCTACTTGATGCAAAAACTCAACTTGTCCCTGAATGATGCCTATGACTTTGTGAAAAGGAAAAAATCCAACATTTCCCCAAACTTTAACTTCATGGGCCAGCTCCTGGACTTTGAGAGGACTCTGGGACTCAACAGCCCTTGCGACAACCGCTCACCCAGTGAACAGCTCTACTTCACCACCCCCACCAACCACAACCTGTTTCAGCTGAACACTCTGGAGTCCACATGAAGGGGATGCCACCTGGTTGGGAACTCGAGCATCAAATCGCTTCTCTTGAGCATTTCAACTCTTACAAAAGTATCTGTCTTGCCAGGCAGCTCTGAAAGGACTAGCTTCTCTGGGCAGAGGTGCCTGATTGCTGCTTTAAGAAGGCTACTGCCATTCATTAGTATCCTGATCAAAGTGGTTTGAAGAGGTGGTCTTTTTACAGGGGGTTGTCTAATACGGGCGATGTTACAGCATTTTGAACGCAGCTGTTACCGGCAATAACCGCTTTCCTGGGTGCATTGTGACTGTCAGAGCACGCACACATGTGAAGAGCTACCAGGGGTTAGCTTGCTGTGGAAAGTGAGGAGATTTATGCACTTGGAAACCTTGAACAAAAGGTGTTGGGCCAAGACTGTTTTAAAACCCAAGTTTACTTTTTTTGATTTTAAAAAAAGAAAAGGTAGATCTTACTCAAGCTTTGGGTTCAAACTCTTTTTAAATATGTACGTTCCTGACTGTTTGTACAGACAAGGTTGCAAAACCAGTATTTTATTGTTTCTTGTTTGATCATTTATTTTTTTTTAATCAAATGTTTATATTGACCAAATGCATTTTGCACACTTTGTGAAGCCTTGGTATGTCCTGGCATATTACTGGGTACTTCAGAGAGATACATGCTGCTGCTGTTGTTGTTAGCATCTGGTAGGAAGCTTTGTTATGTGTGAAGGCCAGTTGGGCTTAAACGCAACCCCTTCACCACTCCTGCACTCACAATCACAAACTCTGCACTGATTCAGCCAAGGTGACTAAGCCGCAAGCTTTTTTTTTAATGCCACCCCTGCCAAAAACACTGTTTGCTATTGCCAGAGGTAAAACTCTTGTAGCCTCCAGAGCTGGTAGAAGCATGTCTGAGCCCAGCTTCGTTCTCTGCTGCCTGTTGACTGACTTAACGTCATCCAGCTGGCCTGAAACCATTCCAGCTACCCAAGTACAGAAGGTAGTTGTGATGTTGGCGTTTCTTGTGCACACTCGATTCTTTCCCATGTGTGCGGGGTGGAGGGGGGAACACTGCAAGCGCCTGGAGCAGAGCAAGGATTGCATAGCAGGACGGGACTGAATCGTCATGCGTGGAGCGTGTGAGGGGAGTGAAGAGATGTGGAAATGATGAGAAGAGCATTGTAACAGAGGATTTTTATATATATATATATGAATATATATATTAACTGGCAAATTCTGAGGAGGTTGGAGCTTTCAACAGAGGTTCTGATTTTTTTTTTTCTTCCTCTTTCGAATAACTTTATGCCGTGCCTTCTATTCTGAGAAGACTTGTTTATATTTCTGGCTAGTGTTTGGCAAACACCTTATACGAAGCCGGGAGGGGAGGAAGTGGTAATAATTTCTGGGAGGAGGGCAGAACGGATTTGGAGATTTCTTTATTGGCTGCAATGTAGTCCCTCCTTTCTCCCCCCTCCCTGTCCACTTTAACTCTCATGTAACTGAAAAAAAAAAAGCCACGGATTTTTTCTAAATATCCAGTTTTTTGTACTTTTTCAGAAAAAGAAAAAATAATTTAAAAAAAATCTCCATCTGGAGGAATGTTTGATGCTGTCACATCCTGAAACTGTTCTTTTTGTTAAAGATGTTACCAGAATGTTGGAATGAGCTTCTCTTTCTTGTTTTCTGGTTGTTTGTTTGTTTGTGGGGTTTTGTTTGCAACCATGTTGGGATTGTGGGTCATTGGAAGGGAGTATGGGCATAATTACAGTTATGAGTGAGAAAATTGAAAATATCCTAATTGCATCTTACCTCATGGAGGAATTTATTTTTTCAGGGATTTTTTGACAGTGCATCTGTATTGCATTACAGCTAAGCTGGTTTGTAAAGGCTTCCTGTGCTGTTAGTGATCTTTCTTCTTTAAAGAAAAAAAAAAAGATGCATTTTCTGATTAGTACAAATGAGAGCTTGTTAGTGAGGAATGGTTCTGCTTTCTGAGTTATGAAGGAAAATTAGTGACCCTATATATACTGATCCAATATTGGGACTTTGTTTATATTGCAAATAAATATTATTTTTTCTTTAAAAATGATGTTTGTGTCAGATGCTTGTCTAGCCTCTGCCCATATAAGGGCACGCTGCTCTGATCTGTATTTTATGGTTGATTAGTATTCTTCTGTGACCATGAAGAGCATTTGCTGGGCAGTGTTCAAGTGTGGTGTTCAGTTTCATGGACAGCTTAATTTTTAAGACCTGTGGTAAAATGGAGAGGGGGAGGTGGGAAGGCAAGGAGAGGGATATGGGGTGTTGGATAAACCAGAGAACAAAGAACAGCTTGAGAATGGGACTAGCTTTGACCCCAGCCGTTCCTCTGCACCAAAACTTAATAGACAAACTAAAGACACTTTTGTTCACTGTTTAAGTGTGGCCTACAAAGGCATGGCAAGGCCTTGCTTACAACAGTTGTGAGCAAAGCAGACTTTATTTCAGTAGGAAAGCAAGAAGTTGTGGCCTTGTGGGCAGCCACCTGATGACTTCTGGGTCTCATGGAGAGTGAGACCTGCCTTCTGCATCCTCAGGTTGGGGGCCAGCAGTGTCACGCATGGCCGGTGCTGTCCCCCTGTGCTCCCCAGCCATGGGTATAAATGGTTTGTGGGAAACCTGGAGGGACTGATGAAGATGCTTTAGGGTGAAAGGTGGCTCCAGGGGTCTGAGTGCAGCCAGGCTAAGGGAGTTATGGCTCCCCATGCCTCTGCTTGTAGCTGGGCAGGACTGAGCAGGAGTGGGTCTGTGTGTCGTGTCCCCCCTCCCCAGCACTCCTTATTTGAATCTCAATGGCAGGAAATTAAATGACTATCTATTCAATTGTTCAGTTCCTCAAAGTGAGTGTGTGCATCATCTTGTTCTTCTAATCTTAGGGCTGATGCCAAACATAGCTAGTTTTATTCCAGAAGGAGCTCAGACTGAGTACAGAGTCTGTTGCGGAGCAAGGGAGATAGTCAGAGAATGTGTGTGTGTGCATGAGAATTTCTTTGTTTATTCCGTACTGCATGATGGAAATCTCTATATTGATTTAGGGGTCTGTTTGTGGCTTAACAAATGAAAATCTACCTGGTATGCAGGGAAGAGAAGACCTTTAAGTTTTTCTTTGTAATTACACGGTATAGTAGCTCTTGAGGAAGGTATGAAACCATGCTGGAGGCTGGTGTGTGCTGAAGGAGTGCAGAACAGCTTGTCAGGTGAATGACTATTTGCTGCCATCTAATTTCCTCTTACAATTTTCTACTGAGGTGTGGAATAGGATATCAGCAGTTAGCATTAGCTCGGTAAGCACATTTGCATGGTAGAGTTGTGCCTGGCTGGAACAGCACAGCTGCTATTTGCTACAGCCTCTGTGTAAGAGCTGGTGTGCAGGCAGCTGCCAGATTGCTCCTCAGCAGGCAGCTCCTTTCGGGTACCTGATCCTGGGAGATGCATGTCTGTTGCGAGTGTCCTGCCACACTCAAAAGCCTTGTTGCCAAAGGAAGGAGGTGGCTCGTCTGAAAACCATCCTGCCATCTGCAAGTGCCTTTTTCTCTATGACCCAAAGTAGCCTTTTCCAAGCTTCCTGGCCTCGACAGCAGGGAACAGCCAGCCTGGCTGGTCCTCAGCCATTAGTGTTTTACGAATGTCTTGCACAGTTCTTCTTGGCCTGGAGGGGTTTCCTTGGAGACCTGGTGTCCTATAATTTAGTGAAGAAACAAGGACTGACATCAGGAAAGGGGCAATGCTGGAGAAATAGTTACAGAGAAAAAAGCGTAGGGTCTGTCTACGCTCCCTTGCAGAGGCGGGTACGAGCACTAGCCGAGTGTAGGAGCACAGGCTGAGTGAGAAAGCTGGTTATGTTCAGATTGGTGGAATTTGGCAAGGAGATATGGCTTCCCACACAAAGCAGGGCAGGGAGAAGCTCCTAGGTTAACCCATTGATTCCAGACAAGCTATTTGTAAGATGCTTTATGGTGCTCTGCTCTATAAAACCAGATAATCTCCTGCTTGGGCACAGAGATCTGTGGTCTCTGGGTTTTCACTTGTGATGCCACAAGGCCTCAGGCAATACGAATGGGAATTTTTTTTTTTCATGGATGGCTTTGTCTTGCCTCTCCGACTTGAAGTTAGGGGGACAACAGGTCCCGCATTCTTTCAAAGCATTTCTCCCTCTGTTTCAAGTCATGGCAAAACCACAAAGGTCTGAACACAGGTAGAGCTAAACTTCTGCAGTTCCCCATGAGGAAGCCCAGGTAGCTGATTTTGAACATATCCAGCAGCCCTCTGCAGCACATCCCATCCTGCCCTCCTCTGTGCTGCCTGGCAGAGCCTCACTGCTCACCCCAGTCAGAGAGGGAGGGCAAGGAGAGCAGGATGTCCTGAGCATGAGGGTGACTGGCATCTTGTGAAACAGGAGAACAAGGAGTAGGTTTGCAGTGCAGTGACAATTACTTGTGGTCATAGACAATGATAGAGAGACAACACAAAGGCAGGGGAGATGTGCAACAACCAACCACAGGAGGGATGTGTGAAGGGGTAGTGGAGGCAGCATCAGGAGACCAACAAGCAGGACATGAGCTTGGGGAAGGGGCTTTGGGCTTTCTTTCCCTCGCTTGTGTCTACCCTTACCCCTCTCCTAGGCTCTTATTTCTTGGTGTGGCATCAAACACACTCTGAGCATGATGCAAGTCAACCTCTGCATCTCTGAACTTGCCTGCTGTTGCGTCACCCAGAGACGCACGTGGGAAAGCAGACTCTTCCTGCCACCATCTGAATTTGGGTGCTCACATTTCCAAGGTAACCAGCTTATTTGTGGGCTGTTATTTTCTTTCTTTTTTTTTTTTTTTTTATCTCCTTTATGTGAGCAAATCAGGCTATTTGCAGTGTTGCAAAGGCATGTAAATAGTTTGGCTATTCAACACATCTATGTATTTACAGCCAGCTGGCACAGGCTGTAATAGTCGTGCTCAGGGCTGCTCAGAAAGTATGTGAAAGTGGGCTTTCTTCTGGATTTTGTGCCATTTGCTCCTGTGTTTCCTCAAATCTTTCTCTTAATCATGCTTGAAGTCAGAGTGCTGGGCTGGCTAAATGTAATTGGGGATGAGAGGGTGGGTGAGGAAACATTCAGCAGGTGGGGAGAGCAGCTCATGGAGTTCCATCCAGTCTCTGTATTCTGTTTCTGCGAGTTCCTCTATTCACACTTCAAAGTTCCTTTCTACTGGTTTTGTCTTTTGACCTTCTTGCCATGTCACCCAGCAGCACTGGCCCAAAGGACGGGCTGCAGTGAGGCCACCCAGAGCCACCATGAAGTCACTGCTGGATCCCCAGCCCGGGTGTGAAACTTGGGTGGGAGACACCATGACAAGTGTCGTGTGAGGGGAACAGCTGTGCTGTGTGCTGGCAGTTGCATTGAACTGAGGAGGCTTACCATGCCGGGATGGAGGCAAGCGGGTGCTGAGAGCTGCTGTGTCTGGCTGGGCTGCCACGTGTGGTTCAGCTAGTGACATGATGATGAAGCAACAAACATTCCTGTTTCCTGGGGGCCATGCTCAAGTTTAAATGGTTGGTTGTGTGTTGTCTGCCTTAAATCGGTGGGTAACCGCGAGGTGGGGAGCAATATGGCGTTGGACCTCAGGGCAGCACTCTCCCCAGGGTGGGCGGTGGCAGCCATTTTGTGTTCCTCCCCTCCATAGCACGTGGCTGCTGCTGTGAGGGGGGTGCACTAGCCCCCCTTCCTGGGCCACCAGGGCTTGTTGGGGGGGGAATTATCTTGGTGAGCACCTTTTCCTAGCCTGGCTTTGTCTCTGCTCTTACCTTTTTCCTCTCCAAAACACCTGAGGAGCTGCTGTGACACTTCGGGTGGCACCTAAGGGAACCCTGACTGGTGGCCTGGGAAGGCCTGAAAGACTTGTGGCCATCACAGTGGTACAGAAATGCAGCTGGGTCCTGTGAAGGAGTTGTGGGAGGATGAACAGCCAGGGGAAGAAGGCTCTGTGCGGCTGGCAGCAGCTGAACCCCTCAGCCTGCGATGGCAGCAGCAGCCCTTGTCAGCTGTGATGGTGCTGGCACCAGCGGTCAGAGATGATGAGCTGCTTGCAATGGAATTGTAAGTTTCTGGTGCCTCTGGGTGCCTCCCTGACATCTCCATGCTGCCCTGCTCAGCTGTGTCACGATTGTGTTTTTAGGTTGGGAGCTGGGTCAGGGAGGAAGCTGTGGTTCAGCTTTGATGGCTCAGTCAAGGGTTGGGGATTAATTATGAGTTGGGAATTAATCATGCGGCAGGCGCAGACACCTAGGCTGGCTGTACAGCCCCATGCTGCTGGTGCCCAGCCTCTGTGGGCTGTGTGGGCCCCCTAGTACTGGGGCAATATGGACCTCCCCTTCCCCTGCCTGGTGCAAGGCGAGACCACCAGCGCTCTCTGGCCTTTCTTCCTCTCTTCTGGTTGGTTGTGCTCATAGCTGAACTTACACTTGTTCTGCATTATCCTTATTTGCTTTCCCTGGTTTCTCTACTGCTCTCTGTTTCTTCAGATCGTTGGGATTTGAGGTACACTCAGCTGGTAGCTGCTCTTGTGAAGCTGTGGTCCTTCTGCTTTCTCTCAGAGACATCGGGGCATGTTGAAAATGGAGACTGGCTGTGATTTGGGGGAGATTTGGGGGGGATGTGTGTTACTTCTGTGCTGCTCAGTGGTGCAAATGATCCAAGAGCATGCAGGGCCTTAAGAAGTATATGGTGAGGGAACCAAGTATGAGTGGAGGAAGGGGAATCCAGAGAGATTTATTTATTTTCCTACTTTCTTTCCCTGGAGAAACGTCTGGCTTATGTAAAGCCATTTGCTGGGTTTCTTGCTGCTTTATTTTGAAAATCTCTGCATTCAGGCACTCTGATCTTTTCGTGTCCCCACTCTTCTCATCTCCCATCACTGCTTCAAGGGCAGATTCTTCATGATTTGGGGTTTTGCTTTTATGAAGTTTGCTCTTTGTTTCAGATCTGTGTTGTCTTTTTCTTTTCTTTTCTTTCCTTTCCTTTTCTTGTAAGGACTGCTTGGTTTGGCTTGTGGTTTTGCC